TTGTGTGTTTGTCATTCTTATTAGTTCTTAGTTTATTAGTAATTCTGTTTTAGTTTTTGTTATTTTTGTGCATCAATGAAAATGAGAAATGTTGCCTTGGAAACTAGTTTTAAGGTTTTTATATTTTATTCTGTTTCAGTTAACATTTATTTCAATTTTTTTTATGGTTTTAGTTTTAATTTTAGTTAACCCTGATTCTGAGTTTTTCTCACGGAATAAAAAAATTTGGACTTTTTTCTCGCAATTGTGAGTTTACGTTTAAATCTCACAATTCTGAGAAAAATTGTGAGAAAAAAGTCAGAATTGTGAGATAAAAAGTCGTAATTACTTTTTTAACTTTTTATTCAGTGGCAGAAACAGGATTCCTTGGATGCATTTTAATCTGATTGGCTGATTGAAAACAGAGGCTGCGTTTGATTGGCTGATTCTCAGAGGTCAGCAGAAGAGGGCGGGTCTTAATTCAGCTGAAATAAAGAGATCAGAAATGATTTTATCATTAAAGACACAATGTATTCATTACTTTAAGAACTGATTGTTATATTCGTGTGAGTAGTGTTTATTCTGATACTTCTCTAATTCTGGTGGCGTCTCAGAACAGACGGCGGTTTATCTGTGCTCTGTTCTGTTCTGAATGCTGGCGCTGAGTTTCTTATGTAAGATTTGAGTTTAATTACTGAACGCTCATTATATCGTCTGTGTATGAGCAGCTGACAGCAATTACACAGGACAGACGGCCTCTATGCACCGCTTCTGCACTGCGTCTGTGCCTTAAAGGGGTCATATGATGTTGCTAAAAAGAACATTATTTGGTGTATTTGGTGTAATGAAATGTGTTTATGCGGTTTAAGGTTCAAAAAACACATTATTTTCCACATTATTGTTTCTCCTCTATGCCCCGCCTTTCTGAAAGTCCTCTTTTGGAAGACCAAACAAAGTAGTTTCGCTTTCACAACGAAACACAGCGTCTCACACCTTGCTTGCTAGAGTGAGCGGAGGCCGGTGGGCTTGAGTGAGCGGAGGCCGGTGGACTAGAGTGAGCGGAGGCCGGTGGGCTAGAGTGAGCGGAGGCCCATCAGTGGCAAATTCTTTAAATGTAAAAAAAACGTACTAGAGTGAGCGGAGGCCGGGGGGCTAGAGTGAGCGGAGGCCGGTGGGCTAGAGTGAGCGGAGGCCGGTGGGCTAGAGTGAGCGGAGGCTGGGGGCTAGAGTGAGCGGAGGCCGGTGGGCTAGAGTGAGAGGGGGCTAGAATGAGCGGAGGCCGGTGGGCTAGAGTGAGCGGAGGCCGGGGGCTAGAGTGAGCGGAGGCCGGGGG